GGTGGAAGGGGAGTAACAAGGAGACACGGTGGAAGGGGAGTAACAAGGAGACACGGTGGAAGGGGAGTAACAAGGAGACACGGTGGAAGGGGAGTAACAAGGAGACACGGTGGAAGGGGAGTAACAAGGAGACACGGTGGAAGGGGAGTAACAAGGAGACACGGTGGAAGGGGAGTAACAAGGAGACACGGTGGAAGGGGAGTAACAAGGAGACACGGTGGAAGGGGAGTAACAAGGAGACACGGTGGAAGGGGAGTAACAAGGAGACACGGTGGAAGGGGAGTAACAAGGAGACACGGTGGAAGGGGAGTAACAAGGAGACACGGTGGAAGGGGAGTAACAAGGAGACACGGTGGAAGGGGAGTAACAAGGAGACACGGTGGAAGGGGAGTAACAAGGAGACACGGTGGAAGGGGAGTAACAAGGAGACACGGTGGAAGGGGAGTAACAAGGAGACACGGTGGAAGGGGAGTAACAAGGAGACACGGTGGAAGGGGAGTAACAAGGAGACACGGTGGAAGGGGAGTAACAAGGAGACACGGTGGAAGGGGAGTAACAAGGAGACACGGTGGAAGGGGAGTAACAAGGAGACACGGTGGAAGGGGAGTAACAAGGAGACACGGTGGAAGGGGAGTAACAAGGAGACACGGTGGAAGGGGAGTAACAAGGAGACACGGTGGAAGGGGAGTAACAAGGAGACACGGTGGAAGGGGAGTAACAAGGAGACACGGTGGAAGGGGAGTAACAAGGAGACACGGTGGAAGGGGAGTAACAAGGAGACACGGTGGAAGGGGAGTAACAAGGAGACACGGTGGAAGGGGAGTAACAAGGAGACACGGTGGAAGGGGAGTAACAAGGAGACACGGTGGAAGGGGAGTAACAAGGAGACACGGTGGTGGAAGGGGAGTAACAAGGAGACACGGTGGAAGGGGAGTAACAAGGAGACACGGTGGAAGGGGAGTAACAAGGAGACACGGTGGAAGGGGAGTAACAAGGAGACACGGTGGAAGGGGAGTAACAAGGAGACACGGTGGAAGGGGAGTAACAAGGAGACACGGTGGAAGGGGAGTAACAAGGAGACACGGTGGAAGGGGAGTAACAAGGAGACACGGTGGAAGGGGAGTAACAAGGAGACACGGTGGAAGGGGAGTAACAAGGAGACACGGTGGAAGGGGAGTAACAAGGAGACACGGTGGAAGGGGAGTAACAAGGAGACACGGTGGAAGGGGAGTAACAAGGAGACACGGTGGAAGGGGAGTAACAAGGAGACACGGTGGAAGGGGAGTAACAAGGAGACACGGTGGAAGGGGAGTAACAAGGAGACACGGTGGAAGGGGAGTAACAAGGAGACACGGTGGAAGGGGAGTAACAAGGAGACACGGTGGAAGGGGAGTAACAAGGAGACACGGTGGAAGGGGAGTAACAAGGAGACACGGTGGAAGGGGAGTAACAAGGAGACACGGTGGAAGGGGAGTAACAAGGAGACACGGTGGAAGGGGAGTAACAAGGAGACACGGTGGAAGGGGAGTAACAAGGAGACACGGTGGAAGGGGAGTAACAAGGAGACACGGTGGAAGGGGAGTAACAAGGAGACACGGTGGAAGGGGAGTAACAAGGAGACACGGTGGAAGGGGAGTAACAAGGAGACACGGTGGAAGGGGAGTAACAAGGAGACACGGTGGAAGGGGAGTAACAAGGAGACACGGTGGAAGGGGAGTAACAAGGAGACACGGTGGAAGGGGAGTAACAAGGAGACACGGTGGAAGGGGAGTAACAAGGAGACACGGTGGAAGGGGAGTAACAAGGAGACACGGTGGAAGGGGAGTAACAAGGAGACACGGTGGAAGGGGAGTAACAAGGAGACACGGTGGAAGGGGAGTAACAAGGAGACACGGTGGAAGGGGAGTAACAAGGAGACACGGTGGAAGGGGAGTAACAAGGAGACACGGTGGAAGGGGAGTAACAAGGAGACACGGTGGAAGGGGAGTAACAAGGAGACACGGTGGAAGGGGAGTAACAAGGAGACACGGTGGAAGGGGAGTAACAAGGAGACACGGTGGAAGGGGAGTAACAAGGAGACACGGTGGAAGGGGAGTAACAAGGAGACACGGTGGAAGGGGAGTAACAAGGAGACACGGTGGAAGGGGAGTAACAAGGAGACACGGTGGAAGGGGAGTAACAAGGAGACACGGTGGAAGGGGAGTAACAAGGAGACACGGTGGAAGGGGAGTAACAAGGAGACACGGTGGAAGGGGAGTAACAAGGAGACACGGTGGAAGGGGAGTAACAAGGAGACACGGTGGAAGGGGAGTAACAAGGAGACACGGTGGAAGGGGAGTAACAAGGAGACACGGTGGAAGGGGAGTAACAAGGAGACACGGTGGAAGGGGAGTAACAAGGAGACACGGTGGAAGGGGAGTAACAAGGAGACACGGTGGAAGGGGAGTAACAAGGAGACACGGTGGAAGGGGAGTAACAAGGAGACACGGTGGAAGGGGAGTAACAAGGAGACACGGTGGAAGGGGAGTAACAAGGAGACACGGTGGAAGGGGAGTAACAAGGAGACACGGTGGAAGGGGAGTAACAAGGAGACACGGTGGAAGGGGAGTAACAAGGAGACACGGTGGAAGGGGAGTAACAAGGAGACACGGTGGAAGGGGAGTAACAAGGAGACACGGTGGAAGGGGAGTAACAAGGAGACACGGTGGAAGGGGAGTAACAAGGAGACACGGTGGAAGGGGAGTAACAAGGAGACACGGTGGAAGGGGAGTAACAAGGAGACACGGTGGAAGGGGAGTAACAAGGAGACACGGTGGAAGGGGAGTAACAAGGAGACACGGTGGAAGGGGAGTAACAAGGAGACACGGTGGAAGGGGAGTAACAAGGAGACACGGTGGAAGGGGAGTAACAAGGAGACACGGTGGAAGGGGAGTAACAAGGAGACACGGTGGAAGGGGAGTAACAAGGAGACACGGTGGAAGGGGAGTAACAAGGAGACACGGTGGAAGGGGAGTAACAAGGAGACACGGTGGAAGGGGAGTAACAAGGAGACACGGTGGAAGGGGAGTAACAAGGAGACACGGTGGAAGGGGAGTAACAAGGAGACACGGTGGAAGGGGAGTAACAAGGAGACACGGTGGAAGGGGAGTAACAAGGAGACACGGTGGAAGGGGAGTAACAAGGAGACACGGTGGAAGGGGAGTAACAAGGAGACACGGTGGAAGGGGAGTAACAAGGAGACACGGTGGAAGGGGAGTAACAAGGAGACACGGTGGAAGGGGAGTAACAAGGAGACACGGTGGAAGGGGAGTAACAAGGAGACACGGTGGAAGGGGAGTAACAAGGAGACACGGTGGAAGGGGAGTAACAAGGAGACACGGTGGAAGGGGAGTAACAAGGAGACACGGTGGAAGGGGAGTAACAAGGAGACACGGTGGAAGGGGAGTAACAAGGAGACACGGTGGAAGGGGAGTAACAAGGAGACACGGTGGAAGGGGAGTAACAAGGAGACACGGTGGAAGGGGAGTAACAAGGAGACACGGTGGAAGGGGAGTAACAAGGAGACACGGTGGAAGGGGAGTAACAAGGAGACACGGTGGAAGGGGAGTAACAAGGAGACACGGTGGAAGGGGAGTAACAAGGAGACACGGTGGAAGGGGAGTAACAAGGAGACACGGTGGAAGGGGAGTAACAAGGAGACACGGTGGAAGGGGAGTAACAAGGAGACACGGTGGAAGGGGAGTAACAAGGAGACACGGTGGAAGGGGAGTAACAAGGAGACACGGTGGAAGGGGAGTAACAAGGAGACACGGTGGAAGGGGAGTAACAAGGAGACACGGTGGAAGGGGAGTAACAAGGAGACACGGTGGAAGGGGAGTAACAAGGAGACACGGTGGAAGGGGAGTAACAAGGAGACACGGTGGAAGGGGAGTAACAAGGAGACACGGTGGAAGGGGAGTAACAAGGAGACACGGTGGAAGGGGAGTAACAAGGAGACACGGTGGAAGGGGAGTAACAAGGAGACACGGTGGAAGGGGAGTAACAAGGAGACACGGTGGAAGGGGAGTAACAAGGAGACACGGTGGAAGGGGAGTAACAAGGAGACACGGTGGAAGGGGAGTAACAAGGAGACACGGTGGAAGGGGAGTAACAAGGAGACACGGTGGAAGGGGAGTAACAAGGAGACACGGTGGAAGGGGAGTAACAAGGAGACACGGTGGAAGGGGAGTAACAAGGAGACACGGTGGAAGGGGAGTAACAAGGAGACACGGTGGAAGGGGAGTAACAAGGAGACACGGTGGAAGGGGAGTAACAAGGAGACACGGTGGAAGGGGAGTAACAAGGAGACACGGTGGAAGGGGAGTAACAAGGAGACACGGTGGAAGGGGAGTAACAAGGAGACACGGTGGAAGGGGAGTAACAAGGAGACACGGTGGAAGGGGAGTAACAAGGAGACACGGTGGAAGGGGAGTAACAAGGAGACACGGTGGAAGGGGAGTAACAAGGAGACACGGTGGAAGGGGAGTAACAAGGAGACACGGTGGAAGGGGAGTAACAAGGAGACACGGTGGAAGGGGAGTAACAAGGAGACACGGTGGAAGGGGAGTAACAAGGAGACACGGTGGAAGGGGAGTAACAAGGAGACACGGTGGAAGGGGAGTAACAAGGAGACACGGTGGAAGGGGAGTAACAAGGAGACACGGTGGAAGGGGAGTCACCCCCATCACCCCCATCACCCCCTTCACCCCCATCACCCCCATCACCCCCTTCACCCCCTTCACCCCCATCACTGTGTTAGAGAGCAAGGCCACGTGGTAGAGCACAAGGCAGACGAACACGTTGAGCGGGACGCGGAAGATGTTCATGATGGTGGAGGGGACTCCTCTGGCAGGCACTGTGCTCGCATGCGCACACTGCAGACCTTCGGATGAATGAGGTGGCTGGCCTGATTGGCCTTGACGGAACCCCGTGGTACAGCACATGGTGGTGAGAGAACTTACGTGGTAGAGAACGAGGCAGACGAAGACGTTGAGGGGTACGCGGAAGAAGTTCATGATGGTGGATCGGGACTCCTCTGGCAGGTACTGTGCTCGCATGCGCATGAGCGACGGCCAGAACACGCCCACACACGCCTCAAACACACAGAACCCCGCCAGCTGCACGCGGCCTCCCGGTGTGATGCCGCCCCCTGGTGGAGGGTGGGGCTCCAGGACCCACTGGGGAATGGGAGGTGGAGAGGCGGAGAGAGAGGGAGTGTGTGGATAAGAGGGCATGAGCGACGGCCAGGACACGCCCACACATGCCTCAAACACACAGAACCCCGCTAGCTGCACGCGGCCTCCTGCTGTGATGCCACCCCCTGGAGGCGGGTGGGGCTCCAAGAACCACTGGGCGGGAACGGGAAGGGGAGATGGAGGGAGAGAATGTGAAGACGATGGCATGAGGGAGCTACTGGGCGCGCATACGCATGAGGGACGGCCAGAACACACCCACACAGACATGAACGAATCACGTGCGAGGATGCAGGGCAGGAGCAGAGAGAGGGACAAGACGGGGACGTGGGTGTGGGCCTAGGAGACGCTCACATTGACGATGCACGGAAGGAGCAGCGAGAGCGAGGAGATGGCGAAGACAGCCTGCATGTAGACCTCGACCTTCAGCCCCGCACGGCCCATGAGGCGGGAGGCCAGGGAGGAGCCGAGCATGGATGCGAGCATGAAGAGCGAGAAGATGAAGCCGTGCGGTATGGCCTGCTGTGAAGGGGCGAGCGCTGGCGTCCAGAGGAACACGAACGTGTACATGCTGGCCTCGAAGAGCGACTGGATGGCTCCTAGAATGGCAATCTTCTCATCTGGATGAGGGGGATGTGGGGGGAAAGAGAAACAGACAGGGATGGCAGAGCAATGGCGTGCAGAGCAATGGCGTGCAGAGCAATGGCGTGCAGAGGAAAAGGAAGGAGGGCGTGTTGGCAGCGAACCGGGCCTGGATGGCCTCTAACAGAGCGATCAATCTTCTCATCATGCAGACATGCGACTAGGAGGATGAGAAGATATGGTGGTAACTGCAAACATGCGACCTCTCTCTACCTGAAGCTACGGCAGTGTACGCCCTCACCAGACTCCCTCCCAAAGCAACGAGGGTGTAGATCAGTGGCAGCTTTATGGCAAAAAGACTTGTCTGGTGGTACCTGAGGCGATGGCATGGTAGGCGAGTTGGAACTGCAGCAGCAGCCCGTGCGACTGGTCAGAGTCCCCGTAGTTCTCACTCCACGTGCCCACTATCACCGCCATTCCCCCTGCTAGTAGCACTGATGCGGCATCAAAGGGCGCTACTGGGCCAAGGTTGAGGTCTGTTACCAGCACGTTGGCCACCAGGCCTGCGGTGGGGTTGGGAAGGAAGAGGTTTGTATGAGGCGTGTGTGGGGCGTGTGTGTGTTGGAATGGCTGGGTGGAGCGAAGGGAGCTGTGGTGTGTGGGGGGTAGGGAAAAAGGGGATGGGTGGGATGATGGAGCGCCTGGGCGGCTCAAAGCTTCAGATAGGAAGTGCCTTGCAGTGTCTCAAACATGATACCAGACAGTCTCATTACGAGCACACACGTCTCACCTGAAAGTATCGCCACGAGCCCATTTCCCAGGAAGATGGCTTTGGAGAATGTGATCGACAACCAGGGCGGCTCAAAACCCCGAGCAAAGTGCTCAGCGACGAGCCAGGACTCAAAGGAGGAGAAGAGCAGCGAGGTGGCTATGCCGCCCAGCACACGACCCAGCACGAGGATGGAGAAGGCCGGGAAGTGCTTGGTGAGACAGCTCAGGATGTATGTAATGCAGTAGAGCACGCAGGCCAGGCGACGCCCACTGGGGGGGGGGATTGGGGTTCAGGGTATAAGGGTTAGGGAGGAAAGTGGAGGGGAGAGGAAAGAGGGAAAGTGCTTGGCGTGGCAGCTGAGGATGTATGTCACGCAGTAGACCATGCAGGGGACCATGCAGGGGACCATGCAGGGGACCATGGAGGAGCCGAAGCCGGCAATGACGAGAATCCACCCCGGGCAAGCTTTAAGCGTTACGGATTGTGAGGCGAGCTAAGAGACAGCAAGCACACTCACTGTCTGTCTGTCAGCCAGAGACCCCACGATGGTCCCAAAGACCATGGAGGAGCTGAAGCCAGCAATGAAAGCCTCCCAACCTGTCATCATTGTATTAGGAATGCTCACTGCCTGTCAGCCGGCGACCACACGACTGTGCTGAAGACCACGGAGGAACCAAATCCAGTGATGAAGAGAGCCCACTGTGGGCACGGTGTAAGCGTCAAGGATCGTGGGTAGAGATTAGAAGAGGAAAGGACGGCACTCACTGTCGGTCAGCCAGAGAGCCCACGATGGTGCCAAAGACCATGGAGGAGCCAAGCCAGCGATGAAGTGGTGGAGTGAGTATGTTGTGAGCATCATGCACTGAAGGGAGAGAGAAGAAACAATAGAGACACTGCACTCACTGGCGGTCTGCCAGCGACCCCACGATGGTGCCAAAGACCATGGAGGACCCGAATCCAGCGATGAAGAGGCGGCCGATGTCGCCCTTGTCGTACCCGTAGTGCTGGTACAGCGCGTACACGTACGGCCCCTGCAGCCAATCGCCCGCTGGCACGTGGCATGAGGAGGGGTGAGTAGGGTGGGAAGCGCATGAGCGATATGAAGGGCGCGGGGCGAGAGCAGGAGTCAGGGAACGGAATGCTGCAGTAATGGTCAGGTGATATGTAACATATGGTGTAGCATTGAGATATGCTGCGTAACCATTACATCATATCATGTCATAGTCATAGTGACTCAGCATCCATCACATACCCATCATGAGGCAATAGACGAGAAGGTAGTTGTTTTTGAAGGACTCGAATGCGGGGGTGGTCCGAGCGCGATCCTTGGAGCCCTGAGAGAACTCATCCCCATTACAAGCTGACTCATTATTCGGCACGTACCCATCATGAGGCAGTACACGAGCAGGTAGTTGTTCTTAAAGGATTCGAACGCGGGGGTGGTCTGCGCGCGGTCCTTGGATCCGCGGGAGAACTCGAGCGCCAGGCACAGCACCACCAGCACCGCGAACACCACCCAGAAATACGCCTCCATGCCCGCTGCTGCCGCTGCTGCTGCTGCTAGTGGTGGTGCTGCAGCTAGTGCTGCTGCTGCCGGCCGCGAGAACGGAGGTTAGGAATAAGCTCGATTTGAGCTCAGATCTCCAAGTGCTGCTGGGCTCTGGAGCACGGAATTTGAGCTATCTGGTGTCTAGCGGGATACACGGGGATACTCGCTTGCTGTCGCTAACAAGTATTTGACATTTAGGTTGCCTAACGCGTGTGTATCTGGTTGCTTGCGAGGCAATGACTGCTGGGCTACAGACGCATACCAGCATGATAGGTACGCGTCGGAGGCTACTTGTATTACTAATGAGCACTAACGAATATTCACTCGAAAACCGTTGAGAGCTAAGAACGCGATAGCAACTTGGTTACGGACGCCTCTAGAGGCGAGAAGCGCATTGGGTGACATGCAGAGCTGAATTCGTCGGATTTCAAATGAAAGTCACTAACAAGCTCTTCAGCATTCCATCAATCTTCGGCACAACCTATGTAGGAATGCGGAGCGGCCACTTTAATACCGCCATGACGAGAGGAGCGCCTCGCAAGCTCTTAGACGTGGACTACAGGAACTCCTGCGCCCCGTCATTGTCGGAATGCCGACCCTCCCATAAGGGCTGTTGCGATTCGCCATCTAGTAGGGCATCCGAATGACTTATCGAAGGCCTCATGAATTCGCTTCGCTCTACATTAACTTATTAACTGCCTGGTCGAAGCGCATTCTCAGATAAACGGTCATTCGCGGACCAGTAGACCAGGCGAACAGGCGAGATATCAGATGGCGATTACAGACAAGACGAGAAACTAGAATTTGTCTTGACGGAGAAATAGACGTTGATACGGGGTGGGCTGACAGGTGATTGGTGATTGGGAGAATGGCGACTGACAGTTCTGCAATGCAGACTCTGTTGCCGTTAGGCACAGTGAAAATCGACGGCGAAGATTGGTCGACGGGGGAGTATGGCGTCTGACACATTCGCTAAGGGTGAAGGCGTTTGCAACACAAGCGTAAACATACTATTGGAAGTCACTGAATACATGGAATTTGAGAAATAACGGCAGCAGTGTGGTTGAAGCCACATGATACTTGGAGGACATTTAAAGCGCTATTGCCTTGTTGAGAGGTTCTGTCAAACGCTCCGTACGACACCCGCATGGGTTCAAAGAACTCAAACTCATTACCAAGCCCCTGGAAAAAATCCACAGCAGAAAAATTGACAGGGATAAGGTAAAGCGAAGCACAGAATTTACTCTCAGGAGCACATGGGCACCTCCAAAGAACCGAATTGCACCACGCCCAATATTCCACTACCAGCACGTACCAATTGGCCTCCTGTGGACCTTGATTCCACTGCATGCGATCCTTGGGAACCGCCCCAACCCCATGTGTACAGCTTGCCGACCGTTGCCGCCCGCAATGATTGCCCTTCACCCTCATCAGCACCACCTGATTTTGAAAGCACAGAGCAAGAGAAAATAATAATGACCATTGCATCAAGTGGCAAGGCTTGAAAAGCACCAGGTACTGCAGAGAGCAGCAGCATATGTTTTGCTCTTGTAGTGTAACAGATCGTAAAAACAAGCAGTGGACTTACTAGCAATAGCAGCAGTGTGCTTCCATCCACATGACACCTGAAGCACCTGCTTCCCTGCCAAACTGCCTGCCACCCTCACTGGGACTGCTGATGAGGGTGCATGGCGAGGGCTGAGAGGAGAGGAGTGGAAGGAAGAGAAAAGGGATAAAAGGCGGTGGGAGAGGTGAGCTGAGATGGCTCCCAAAAGAAGCACAACACCAAAGCTACCCTCGTAGAAAAAAAGGACGACAAATTCAATCTTCACACGAACGAAAGCACAACAACCTCTGGTCATACAGATGGGAGCATAGGAGAGCCTGGCACACACCCGTGGCCAAGGCAGCCATACTCGTTCGCTCCCCATGTGAATAGGTGACCCGCGCCTGCAGGCATGCAGGGAAACACGATGAGACAGAATGCCAGGAAGGATTGTTGAAAGAGAGTGATGGAAAGGAGTGTGACGAATGCGAGAGGAGAAACCATATGAACAACGAACCATGGCATTACCTGTGACAGCAGCAGTGTGGTAACCACCACATGCCACATCCGTTACAGCATGCTGCAGAGATGTCAGCTCCACTGGTTCCTCCCGATCCTTCTCATCCCCCAGCCCCTGCCATCATGCACGCATGAAATCATGCATGCATGGACACATAACATCATGCATGCACGGACCCATGCCATCATGCATCCGTGCGTTCAGCAGCAAAAAAAATGGCAGTGAGTACACAGATGCATGGTGGAGCCTCCGTACAGCCTATCCAAGCAGGATACGGATGTGACACAGATGTGGGCATGCAGCGTGGTTGATGCGCTCATGGGCCCACACACTCTCATTCACACTTGCACTCATACTCACTCTCACACTAACCTGCTTTCACATCCACACTCGCACGGACTCACCAGCTGAGAGAATCTGTTGCCTCCAAACATGAAGAGGCGGCCGCTGTCTGCCAGGAACATACACAGAGAGACACAAACAGACACATGCATGCTTGAATGCTTTCAATCATTCACAGGGAGGCAAACAGATACATCAATGCACAAACTTAACAGAGGCACATCAAGACACATGCTAAGCTCACCGTCAACACATGCCGAGTGCATCAAGCCTGCTGCTACATGAACGACCTGGTGTAATAGGAGCGCATGGGATAAGATCGGATGCAGCAAGACCACATGCGATAGGAAACGCATGCAATGGATATCATATTCACACACACGAACAAGTATAGATCAAGAGAGGGGACAGGAGAACAGATTATGAATATCGTATTCATATACACAGGAGGGAGGAAGTCCCGACCACAGCACACACACGTATCATGCAAGAGTCAAGATCCACCATGTCATCTTAATTCTTAATTCTTGATTCAAGATACAAATACCATCTGTCCACCATGTTGATTCAGTAAGCTACCACACCCCTCTACCCACTATTTCCGCCTTTTCCCCTCTACCACACCCCATCACAGCCATACTGCAGTCGTGTTCACTGATTGCTTACCTTGGTGCTTGCCATGGCCTTAACGAGCCGAGGGATGGACTCACTGCGGAGGAGGGGTGAGGGACGAGGTGAGAAGGGGGCGTAAAGGAAGGAGAGGTAAGACGTACCAGCTCGAATCGAACCAGCAAAGAGGCAACGAGAAAAGCCAAACGAGAATTGCCTGAGCACACAACTTCCACACTGGAAAGCAGAGTGCATGGATGCTGTGGAAGAGGACCAGTTGCACACAAAGAGCAGAATTCCAGACCTTTGAGAAACGCTGCGCACCTGGATTTCCTGGAGAGGCGGGAGAAGAGCGGCAGGGGACCGTGGCCCAGCAGGCCCTTTCCCCATGACAGCAGCTGCCCGTCGGCTGAGAGGGAGGAAGGTGCAAAGAGGAGGGTGAAGGTTAGTAAAGGGAATGGATGTGGGTGCGGAAAGAGGGCACTATTGAGCAGACCCTTCCCCCGTGAGAGCAGCTGACTGATATCAGCTGAGCGGGAAGGGAAGTCGCCGGGAGGTAGCATGAGAGCATGGGAGAATTGGAGCGTTGGAGCATGGGAGCATGGGCACAAACAAGCTACCTGTAACAGCGAGGGTGTGCTGTCCCCCCAGGGCCATGTGTTGAATGCGCACTCCCACCAGCGCCTCAGGCACACGCGGCGAATGCACCTTGGATGGGGCGCCTGGGGAGAGGGGAGCGGATAAGCAGGGGATGGAAACAGGGGCGCGGGGGGAAGGGGAGGGTAGTAATCGCAGGATAAATTGAAGGAGAACGTGTCGAATGCACACTCCTACAAACGCCTCTGGCACACGAGGCGAATGCACCTTGGATGGAGCGCCTGGGTTAAAAGGAGCAAGGGAGAAGGGGAAGGGAGAAAGGGTGTTTCTGGGATAAGTAGAGTAGAGGAGAATGTGTGGGATGCTCACTCCTGCCAGTGCCTCTGGCACACGGGCGAATGCACCTTGGATGGAGCGCCTGGGGAGAAGGGAGTAGAGGCATCAAGAGTGGTTACAAGACAGATGGGTGGAATATCGAAGAAGGGCGGTAACGATGGGGCGAGAACTTTTGAGGCGACTCAAAAGGCTTTCTGGGGACAAGGGGAGAGGAGGCATCAGGATTGATCGTAAGACAGATGGGTGGGGCGAGGGAGAACAGGCAAGTGAATGAGTGCAGTTGCAATCAGAAAGGACGACTCACGTGAGCCGAGTCCAAGCTGGCGGGCGGCATTGCCGCCCCACAAATACATTTGGCCGGCCTCTGATGGACAGGAGGTGAGGATAAGGGAGAAGTACAAACAGACAGGGGAGGAGAAGAGGAGAGCATGATAAAATACGGATGAAGAGCGAGAAAAAGGACCAGAATGAATGGACCTCTCAAAGCGGAGTTGAATAATAAATCTGGTCATTATCCATAGATGCTTGTGAATCACCATCAGTGTGTGGATTAAGTTACCATCTATGGCTGCTGAGTGGAAGGCAGCAGCTGCAATGGCCACTACAGGCCGATCGAAGCCGACCACCTCTTTGGGCGACTGCAGGAAACAAGAATCGCATGGAACAGGAAGGGATTGGGCATGGTTGAAAGAGATTGTTGGGTGAAGACAATGCATCCCTATGACGAGTTGAATGGACCATTCTAAATGTTTGTACGAACGGCTGAAATTGCTGAACAGAAAGCACGGCAGGTGACTTGTGAGTCGACTCAAATGCCAACTCGTGCACGGAATGTTGGGTGAAGGCATCCATATGATGGGTTGGGTGGACCGTGTCAACGTTAGTACGAACGACTGAGACGGCTGGACAGAGAGCAAGGCAGGTGGGTTTACGACAGAAACACATGCAAGAACGGGTCGAAGGTAGCAAGCAAGCACTCACAGAGACGTACGGTGGAGAGTTTGAGTCACCCAGCCCCAGCTGCCCTTGGTCGTTGAGACCTGTGCTGTACACCCTGCCATCCGCTGGGGGGATGCATCATGCATCATGCATGCGCACACACGCATGGGGTATGTGTATGCAATGTTGGTCGTTGAGACCCGTGCTCTACACCCTGCCATCCGCTGAGGGGATGCATCATGCATCATGCATGTGCATGGGAGAGCAGTTAGACTCACATCACCACATTCAGATTATCATGGCCTCATGAGTCCATCCATGGTCAGTTTCAAGCTCACATGGAGGACACCACGGGATAAGTCTATGCAAAGCCTGTCGTTGAGGTCTGTGCTAAACACCCAGCCATCTGCTGCTCCAACAGACATATACAAATTCACACGGATGCGTCTTACAGCAACGCAGCACCGGTAACTGACACGTCATCAGTACCTGTCAGCACGAGCGTGTGAGCTCCACCGCATGCCACGTGGCACACGTCCTTATCCTCCAATGCCGCACACACGCGTGGGACGTTCACAGATCCCACATCCTCATTGCTATCCGCTTCCGCTCCGCCATTTTCCCTCCCAACTCTCCCCCATCCCCACCACCCTCCGCCTTTCCCGTTCTCCCTGCTGCTCTCCCCCGCTTTGCTCCCCAGCCCCAGCCGTCCGTGATCCCCGTTCCCCCACAGCGCGACCTTTCTTCGGGACGTCTCAAACGCGGATGTCCGTTGTTCCCGCGACGCATTGCTCGCTGCGCGCCGATTCGAGTCTTGACGCGGATTTGACCCGTGATGGGTTGCCACGTGGCGAGTGCTTTGAGTAGGAGCAGCGTCCGCGGGACTGATAACATCCGCCACGGATGCAGGAAAGCCGACGCGCTTTCGCCCAAGTCGTGTTCGGCGCGCAAGGTGTAACGAGGAGCGCATAAAGCCCATGTCCACGGAAGAGGATGCTAAAAATACAAAGAATCTAACAGCAAGAGGATGCTGATAGCTGTTCAGATCTCAGCGCAATGTACAAATGATACGCTTATAGCGTCAAGTACGACAAGGGGATTCGCTCAGCTGCGGGCTCATATGTAAAATCGTCTCCATGACATTTTCATTTTTTCTGCATCCCCGTGCTTTGAACCCATACGGGGCACAGTTCCCTGAGCGTGACGTTGCGTCAGGAAGAAGCGAGGGAATCTTCACCAGCACGAATGAAAAATCGGGAGGGTTGTAACATTTGCAGAGGGGAACAATTGGGTCTAGCTCGGTTAAGTAAAACATAAAATCAAGCTGCAATGATAGTACTTGATTACAACAAATGGCAATTCCGGCAGCATATGTTGCTTCCTCTCACGCACACATTTCCCCGCACATGGCGCCGTCGAGAATGCGCGTGAAGCGTCACGCTCGACCTCTTGCGCGACATCAGGGTGCGCTCGTTCTTTTGAGTCGACTCAAAACTTTTCTTTCTTTCATGGCGGCCATTCAAGTGTCGATCGGTTATCCAGCGATCCGAAAGTCACTCTACGCGATCCTAGACTCGCCGCACAATGTGATCACGCCAGTGCGAGGTGCTTCCAAGGGCTTCCGGACGCGGATTTCCAGCCGTTGGATTCATGCACTGTCTCCCCTTCGCCAGATGCATCACGCCTGAACGAATCTTATGACGGCTCGTCGCTCCCTCGTCCGTCACCGGGAGCCTCACCGGTCTCTGCGGTGGCGACAGGTGCTGCAGACGCGGCGACGGTGGTGCGATGGCGAGTGCTGTGTCGCGCGTGTCCCGCCCACTGGCAGTAGCTGAGAAGGTGCGCTTCGGCCAGCTTCCACTCCCTTTTATTCCTTCACTCAACTAAATCTGCCGAACTCAGGCATCATTGTCAGGTTGAGCCACCTGATGATTGATAAAGGTCATTGTCAGGCATGATTGATTGTCAGGCATGATTGATAAAGGTCATTGTCAGGCATGATTGATAAAGGTTGAGGGTTGAGCCATTGATGGATGGTGTCAACCTTCAGGCTGCAACCTGATTACCCTGAGGTGTCATTGATCTCCGCATGTGCTGCTTTTGAAGGTTTTTGAGGGTGCTATGCTATGTGACGCCACTTCATGCTATGCTATGTGACGCCACTTCATGCTATGCAATGTGACGCCACTTCATGCTATGCTATGTGACGCCACTTCATGCTATGCTATGTGACGCCACTTCATCTTATCGGTCCTTACATGAATCAACCACCTGCAGTCATTTGCAGCGATTTGCAGAGATTGCAGAGATTGCAGTTTCATTGAGATCGATCAACTCAAATCCATTCATGCCCCAGTCAGCTCTATCACTTTGGAACCAGCATTCTCACCTCACCTGGTTCCCACTCTCTCCTCCACCACTCCTGCCTATCTTACCTCTCCGTTGACTCCTCTTTGCGTGCAGCATATGGCTGTCGTGCGCGTGGGGAGAGATGTTTCCCCACGAGGCGGAATGGAGGCGGAAGTGATAGAGCCAGAGAGAGTGGAAGGGCGGGAGATGGTGCACCCACGGGAGGAATGCTGGCGGAAGTGGCGCCTTCAGACGCGCCTCCACCGGCCCCAGCCTTCAGCCCTCAGCCTTCAGGCTGCAGTGCGTCTTCTCGTGCCTCACCTGCAGCATCAGACGATGAAGATTCTCTTGATGGGTTTGACTCCCTGGACAGGAGGCCTTGGTTGCCCTTCTCCTGCCCTCACACTCTTTCAGGCTGCCGCACTCACCCCGTCCTCCTCCTTGCCTCCAACCCTCTCCCTCCTGCTCCCAGTAGACCATTATTTTTACCCCACAGCCTCCTCCTCCCGTCCCCTCACTGCCCTCATTCACTGCTCTCATTCGCCCGCCCTCCCCCTTCCCTTTCTCTCCACTTCGTCAACATCAGGAGTGAGCAAGATCAACATCACGCCCATCACGGAACCCAAGCCGCCTCCCGCCCCTGTGGGCGAGCCTGTCTACGCCACCAAGCAGGTGCGCAGGGTTTAAGATTTCGGGTTTTGTGTGTTGGTGTTTTGGCTCTCATCTCATTCTCCTGCCGTCATGCTCCTCCTTTTATTGTCTTGCCCTCATTCACTGCTCTCATTCGCCTTCCCGCATTCCCCACCTCTTGTCCCCTCACTTCCTCCATAAGCACGCACTCCTCCATAAGCACGCACTCCTCCATAAGCACGCACTCCTCCATTAGCACGCACTCCTCCATAAGCACGCACTCCTCCATTAGCACGCACTCCTCCATAAGCACGCACTCCTCCATTAGCACGCACTCCTCCATTAGCACGCACTCCTCCCCCCTCAATCTGCCTTGTCCCCAATGTCCTCGATATCCTCACCAGTAGCGAGACTTTCCCTGCCCCAGGCACCCACCCTTTCTTCGCCCAGCCTTGTACGCTTCCACTCACACCACATGCACAACCACGGACACAGCCACGGAAGCTTCCACTCACCCAGGCTCGAGGACACGTCACAGCCACGGAAGCTTCCAGAAGGGGAGGATGCGAGCAGCAGCAGAGGGTGGGAGGATGCGAGCCAGGGCTTGGTCCCGAACTGGCACTTGAACTATCAGTGTTGCAGATGGGGGAAAGAGATGGTCACTGTGCTGACAGTGGTGGTGACAGTGGCAGTGACTGCAGCAGCGGTAACTGGGAGCATGATGAAGAGAGAGAGCAGGAAATAAATAAGCAGCTGCGGAAGAGGGAGTGTGAGCAAGGAGGAAGGAGAGAGGCTGGAGCGTGTGTGGTCATTCATCCGCCACCATCCTCCCTCTCGTGCCTCCTCTCCTGGCGCCTTCCACTGGACCATCCATCATCCTTTTACATCTCCCCCCATCTCACCACTCCCACGATGGCTGTGCAAGCAAGCTACGGGAGAGATTACAGCAGCAGCAGCAGCAGCAGTCGCATGAATGGCACTAGCAGGGCAGTTCTGGACCGGCAACTGGTGATGCTGCTAGTGCGACGGCTCAAGGAGAGGCATCGAAACCAGCATGCTCTCGAGATGATGTCAGCATGGTCAAACGCTGGTCAATGCTAATGGATGTGTTTTATTGTAAAAGCTGGTCAACACTGGTCAACGCTTGCCTCCCGCTGCCTCCCTCATCTCATGTCTGGCTTCTGTCTGTGTGTGGAGCCTTGCTCTCACTCTCACCTCCTCCCACTCTCACCTCCTCCCACCCTAAACCCTAAACCCTAGACCAGGCCCCTAGATTCGTTTTGAGGTAGTCTGACGCCTCAGAGTACACCCCTCCTGGAACTCTGTCTGTCAGAGGTGCCTCAAAATTTTAGTCTGAAAATTCAGACAAGCACAACTTTTTTTGTCTGAACTGTCAGAGTTACCCTCAAATTTTAAGATGATGATGCAGTATCGTAAAAGCATATTTATAATAGCATTGAAGCTGATTACAGCATACCAACTCAACTGTGCGGTACGAACCAGTCAGGGTCGGCGGGTTTGCATCAGGCAACGTGCTCGTGCATCGCCTTGGTTGTTTTGTCACGTGCAGCGCATGGGTTGTTTCTGCTGATTAGATTTCGTTTCGTCGTGTGTCTGATTACCGTTCTGTACCCATTTTCTCGCCTGTGTGCCGATTTTGTCAATTTTGGATTTGCGTATTGAGAAAGCTTGCTTTCTTATTTTTATCAATTGGCATCGTTCTCATTACAACGTTCTCATTACAACTGGCTTATTACAACATTTGCATCGAGATTGAACACAAGCTAGTGCATGCTAATATCACTAGCTAAGATGTACCCTATCCAAGTGGCATTAGCAAGGCGTTCTACGCTGGGGTGGGTGGTGGGGATGTTGAGTGAGCCGTTTGAAATAGAGAAACGTGGGTGGAGGGAAATGAGCTCCAACCCACGGTTTTTGTAGTTGGAGAAGGGCGTTTAGCGCGCTTCGACGATGCCAACTGTGCAGTACAAGCAGCTTCGCTTTCACAATACACAATTTTAAAAAACACAATGTGTGTTTAAAAATTATAATATTGAGAAAGCTTGCTTTCTTATTTTTATCAATTGGCATCGTTCTCATTACAACTGGGGTCTCTGAGACATGGGCAGCGGGGGCCTCCTATGGCGTACGAGCGCCTCTGTGTGTTGCGCCGAAGACACCGCCTGCGTCGGATCTTGCAGGTTGCGGGATGCTGTGATGAGAGGCTCGACGTATGGCGTGACGTACATTTCCTTAGCTGTGTCGCTTCGCCATCTGCCCAGCCGTTTGAAGACTCTGTCTGGCACTCCAGTGTTGGCTGCTACTGTGGCCGCGCCTTTTCGGAAAGAGTGAGTGCCGAGCTGCAGCTCTCCCAGACCAACTTTTGCGAAAGCTTCCTTACACCAGTTCCGAATTGTAGTGTATGAAGGCGGCTTCGCTTGGCCTTTGCTGCTTGAAGCGTGCTCGAAGACACGAATCAACGGTCCCTCTAACTGAGGACCATAGCCGGCGAGTTGGATGAAGCGTCGGGTGCAGCGCACTGGGCAACAAGGGTCTGTCGTTGCTGCAATGGGTATCCATGTTCCGTGACCGGCCTGATCGGTCTTAGAGTGTGGTATGAGGATCCACATGACCTCTTCGTCGAATTGGATGTCTTGCCATTGTATGGCCACTAGGTCGGAGTATCGCAGAAATCCTGAGTACATGAGGATGGGGATCAGCCCTTTCTGAAATTCCGCAGGGTCGTCAGACTGCAGGTAACTCCCGGCCATGTCGCGGACTTGTTGGATCGATACGGGTTCCTTCAGACG